TCGTATTTATAACAATTGCTATATTCGTTATTTCATTAGTTTCTATATCGATCTTATCTACTTCGATAGACACAGTTTTTCAATTTTTTTACATTTTTAAAAATACAGTTTCGGTAGCGATGTAATTACATATAGTAAATTCTTTTTCTTTCAATTCATCTACAACAAATTTAACAATTTTTATAAAGTTGCCAGTTCTTGTCTTAGCAAAAGAATTGTTTGTCCGAGCACCTTCTTTTTTACAGCATGCAAGGAGACAATCTTCTTTAACCATTCTTTCATACGTTTTTGTGTATTTTGTTGACAAGTTTCTTAAATTTATCCATTGATCTTCAGTATAAACAGACTTGCCGAAATATCTATTTTCTCCTATTTTAACAGTTTTCTCGGTAAGCCGATTATTCAACTGACGTACAAATTTCAAGACTGCCGAATTCTCATAATTCTTATTCAAATGTTCTTCTAACAGTATGCAACTGTTTTCATATTTTAGCTTTCGGCAAATTTGATGCAAGACTCCATTACTTGATTTTATCATTTTTAGAAGTTTTCCATTTCCTGCTTCAAATGGATAACCAGTATGGAAAGGCATTGGTCCCCAGTTTCTAATACTATCTACCAAATGAAGCAGTTGGTGAACATTGAAGGTCAATGCGGTCTGGCCATAAAGTTCTTCTGTTTCTACTATGAATTCTTTCAAACATTTTTCGGCATAGTCAAGCTCTTCGTTAGTTATGGAGCTTTTCTTTAGAATGTGCATTGCTTCCACAAGTAATTCCCAGTATTTTGCATAAACTTCAAAACCCGGCATCATTTTTCGAATGGGTAAGCTATAATATAATAGCCAATTTTCCCATTCACGTGACTTCCAGTGCTTTCTATCCTTCAAAGAACGAGATAAGCGCGTAATTTGGTTGGGCGCCTGAATACTTAATAGAATTTCATCAATTTCTGCTATTCTACTTTTAAGCGAAAAAGGTACGTTTGTTTCATTGAACCAGTAGCGTGCAAATTGTCGACAAATTCCTAAAGATACGCTGTGCATTTCATCCGGTACGAATTCTTTGACAATATCAAAAAATTGTAAAAATACTAATGGAGACAAAGATTTTATTCCGTGAAACATTCCCACCTCTGGAAAATTTATTTTCAAATTTCTCATTGTGAGTAAAGTATCGTAGGTAGATCGCTTGTTCGGCACATAATCTAGAAGAGGATACTTAACAACTGTTTTTTTTCATGCATAACTGGTATACCTGGATGCAAACACCAGTTACACCCAAAATATCCACTGTATTGTGTAAGTCCTTGAATTGGCCCACGCGCACCAGAATCAACGCAACAACATATCGGATATAGTCTCAAGTTCCGAAATTCGTTATTGATGGTACAACGAATACCTTTAACATTTATACTATTAACGTTTTTTGCAAATGCTTTCAGAAAAATATTCATGTTAGGTTTACTTTTACCTATCCAGAGCGCATAAGTTATGCTTCCACTAAGTCTAATATCTGATGGAACTTCATTTATTTGTATTTGTAAAGGCCAGACAGAAAAATTAGTACTTTTCCAAAGTGGGGTTCCATCAGTATTCAAAACACAAGTAATAAAGGAATTTTTCAACTCATTAGGCAATGACAAAAAGAATTCTCTATATTTCAAGCCATCGCAAATGTCTTGAAAGTCATGTTTAAGTAGATTTAGACTAGATAAAAGTGGCGTAGTACTTTTGGTTGATTTCTAGTAAATGTCTAATTTTATCTTTTACGTTCAAGATTACAAAAAAATTCACGTTGTTGCCTTTAACTTTAATTTTACGCTTACAATATTTACAATACACGAATCGTTCAGTAGCCTTGAAGGAGCATAGATATTTCTTACATTTTATGCATACAGCATGGAATTCTGCGATATCGTAAGATCTTAATAAATTGTCAATTTTATAACGAGTATCTTTTAAAACGGGCTTATCGAGGAAACTATTGAACATTTTACAAAGTTGTTCTATCCCAGTTATTGGCAAATTAAAATGTTCGCTGTATTTCCCAATAGCACATAACATTTCCGCCTGACTTACAGCTACCTTAGCGGGTGTAATTTCATCTAATGTACCATTATCCAATTGACTTTTCACTGGACTAACCTTGTTTTGTTTTTCATTCCAAAATTACTCTTCGTCGTCTGAGTTGTCAAAATCACCGTCTACATCTGTTTCTGGTATTGAATCTTCTATCTGAAATAATTACGAAATTTTGTATAATATACGTACAAATTTTGTTAGCAGTACCAATAATTGACTAATATTATTGCAAAAATCAATCAAAGAGTGGATTGGTAATAACTGAAAAGCTTAATTTTCTGTTACTTCCATAAAATTACATTCATTTTCAAATGATTTGAAAATGTGAAAAAAAATGTCTTCAAAATAATCTGAATAAGTATTCAACTTTAAGCACTTCTTTCTCTCGTAAACTGAAGAATTTGCACAGCTATTTTGCAAAAGTAGGTTTGCGTGCAAATACTCTACTGGCACAGTTAATCACAGCGCTTGTTAATTAGAATTTGGGAAAGAAAACCAGTCGTGTTTAATTAGCAGAGAGTTAAAATTACTGTCAGGCTTCCTTGATACATTCATTATAATTATAATACTGATCAATCGTTCGTGAATTTTTTTATTTCTTGTACAGTAAAAAAATACTAATTTTATACTAAATACTGTTATTAATTCTTTGCAACAAAACTGCAACAGGCAAACAATACACATTTTTTTTATTTTAAGTAAATACATTATTCGAATGTAATGAAGATTAGTCTCACCTCATCAGAGTAACTAAGTCGAGCACTCATTGACAGATGTGATTTATATTGCTCTGAATTTGCCTCGACAGAACTACTTCCACTCTGCATCATATTATAATGAAGTCTCTCTGGACTATTGCAAGCAATATCTGGCTGCACCAAGATTTCTTCCGGACTTGTTGAACCAGGAATAATATCCTCAATATGACCTGTGTCTGGCTGAAGGCCTCCAATGTTTGCTAATTTATTATTATGTATGATTTTATAGTGTTCCTGAAATGTAATTAAACCAGTCAGATTTCTCACAACGAACAATTATTTTTTTACAATACATACAATATTTACATTGATATCATATAGTGCATTGATATTCATTCATAGATTAGAAGGCAATTATTCACTAACAAATGATGCACTTATAAGAAATTGACAACACAACTAACCTCCATATCATCAATACTAGTAGAATCACTCGTATCATTTCTTCTTTTTTTTGGCATGATCGTATTTCGTAGATTTCGGTGGACTATCTCCGGTTTTAAGATATTTCTTGTATGGTCCTCTTTTTTTCACCATAATTTATAATTTTATGCAATCTTATCAATTGTATATCAAAATATATATATTTATAACTATTTAATTAAGGCCATATCAATTGAGTTTCGAGACGCGACAAAAGTTTCAAGATGGAGAATATATGTGCGCGCCCTACGCATAGGTGGGGATATTACAGTGTGCATGTATACATACGAGTCCGCGCCTGCGCAGGGCTAAAGTCACACGAGAATTGTCTCGATTTGTGTGACAACTTTTATTTCGATCAGAGACAATAGCAATCATTTCTTTTGTTCTCCATTGTCATAAAATTTTTAACAATACGGATTAATTACGGTTAGATAAAGCTATTCGCGTGTTGCGATATTTACCAAGCATGCCTCCAGAAAAATTGATCATGCTTTAGTACACAATGATATAACTAATAATCTGGAAATCATACATATAAAGAAAATAGCTGGATTTCTCAAAACACCATTGCATTCTAAAGATTTTGATAAAAATATAGCCTACTATTCTTTGGATGACAACAAAAGGATGAATAAAATTTTCATGTTAGAAGTAGGAAGTAAGTACCAATTGAAATATGTAAAGTTAACATGTGCTCGAAACATGTAAATGGATAATTATTTATCTGTGTATTTGTTCGATATTATTATTGTTTATTTTTACAGATAAATTATCTATGGACAATGCATTAAAACAATTGGAAGAGACTATAATTTCACATGCTATTGTCGATTTCACAACTGAACAAATAATTAGAGTTATTAACATTAATGATTTACAAATAGATCCAAAGCCTAAGCATAAGCTTCAATTCTACGATAAAAAAATTTATCAAGCTAAAGGAATCAGCAGTGATTTTTCAGATGTGATTATCTATGCCTTAGGGAGTAAGTATATATACCGTGCAACGCAATTTTTTTTTCAAAACAAATACTGTATTTCCATAATTTTCAGGTGAAGAGGAAATGCGCACAAAGTGTCAGTCTATTGAGAATAATTCTTTTGCTTTAGTTTATATTGTTGATCAAGATATAATTAGAGTAGTTGCAGTGTCAGCCATAGAAGAATATCAAGTCTCGCCTCCCAAAAGTTTATCAGATTTCAACCTTGAAATAACATACAATTATATAGAGGCGTCTGAAGACAGATCCATGCATGTTCAAGTTCTGCAGTTAGGAAGTAAGTTTTTCACTTACAACTTGATTATTGCGTTCAAAGAAATTTACAGTATAATATATTTTGCATTTAATTGATAAGGTTGTCTCATTGATATTTTATTTTTTGCAAGATTTTCCCAATTGTGCAAAGCTAATAGATGAGTACAACAAACTAACACATGCCCTGATTATGTGGAAAAACAGGAAGAATGCAAGAGATATTATTCCAATTGCAGATATAAAGGAATTTGAAGACCAGTATCCAGAACATTCTACTGATTTCGATAAATACAGACCATATTCAGGTTTATTGACAGGATCAAAAAGATACGCTGCTATACAAATTGTTTCATTTGGTCGTAAGTCATAGTTTTGTTTATTAAGATGTAACATTTTATCAGCTTTTTCATTTAACAATTTTATTTCTATTTCAAGATCCTGTGATTCTCAAGTTTTTAAAAAATAATTCCACGAAAAGATTAAAAGCCACCAAATTTAGTGTAAGTTTGATTGAAGCATGCAATCATTCTGCTTCAGGCAGTGATCAAGAAAAAAACAGTGAAAGTTCTGATTCAGTACTGAGGTCCAACAACGATGAAATAAATCATAATAAACATGTAAAAAATTTAACTATTCATCAGTATTCGCCATATCATTTTTTTTTTAAATTATTAATTCTTACATGTTCGTACAGAGACGTAAAAAATACAAAAAGAAAAACAGTAGACTCATTCAACGTTCATCAAAAGAAAAAGAAGAATTTACAAGAAAAAAGGAGTTATTTTTGAAAAATAATAAACAAAATCCAAATACTCACCAGTCACCAGATTCTGAGAGTGAAATGTTAGTGGAACAGATTGAAAATATAAACGAAAATCCTGAGTTCACAAAATAGTGAAATTATTTCTAGTTCAAACAATAGACAATCTCTCGCTCCTTTAAACGCAGCAAATATAGGTAAGGTATAAAAATAAATATTGAAATGAATAATAAGTAATATATTTATTTTGTGTCTTGTATGTTTTCAAGATTTCAATGGAGGGCATAGTTCGACTCTTTCTACTTTGACCAGGGGTAATAATTTTCAAAGTAGGAACCTTCATCCTAAAAATACTTCATCAAAGCCACGTTCACACCAAAGAAGATATTCTCGTGCAAGAAACTGTAGTTCAGAAGAAGAAAATAAATGTGGTCAACGTGAAGGCAGATCAACTCAAAGAGTTAGAAAAAGACTTAGGAAAAACCAGTCTGTCAAAGCTTCGATTTTCAATGGAATTATTCATGATGCTTCATCAGATAGCAGTACTGGTTCTACTGAGGAATACAGCATGTTTGAACGCATCAAAGAAGTCGATAATGAATCTAAAGAGGTTAATGATTTTATTTATTTTGAGATAAAACTGTATGATGCGACCAATGATTTCCTACAACTACTTTACAGATCATCTACATCCATATTGGTTATAATTTGAAAATTCCATACCAAGATTGGAAAGATGCTAAACGTGATTCTACGGACGATTATTCACTTGTTCAGAAAATTTGCAGAAGTTTATTTGGTCAAGATATTTTTGGAATTTCTTTCCAAAAAAAGTCTTACATAAGAGTGGTTGAAGGGCGCCCAAGAAGACCGATAACAGAACCTGAACAAAAAGCAATTACAAGTGAGTTTTGCCCTTAATTTGTTTTTAAGCATTTGTAGATAAGTTTACATTTTTGTATTTGTTTACAGAATGCCTCCGATATTTTATTTTTCACCAAGCTCCTGAATTATTAAAGGAACGTCCATTGCACGATATCATTCATCGTAAAAACATTCGTAAGATATTGTCAGTTGAACTAAATCATCAATTTGATAAGTTTCAAGTGGAACATCCCAACCTAGTTACCTACGTTTCATCTAAGACATTCACTCAATATTATTGCTAGATTTTTAGATTGCATATGCTATTTATTTATTTATTAAACTATATTTCAGAGTTTATTTATGAATATATAATTAAACAATAACTAATACTATGTATTTACTGTTAAATACGAAATTTGAAAAAAAAATAGTATCTTTTTTAGTTTATATGTCGAATAAAAGAAAATATTTGACCAAGAAACAACATATACATTTTCATTCATTATATAATACCTTTAAAATTATTTCAGTAAATTGCATCCTAATAATGACAAATAGTTTGTTTATTTATAGAAAAATAATAATAATCGTACAGAATTCGTACAAATTTTGTACACATTTTGTACGATATTTGTACAAAATTTGTACACTTTTTTGTACAAATTTGGTACCAATTTTGTACAAAATTTGTACCTTTATTTTCAGTGGAGATAGCTGTAGGTCACTTTATTGTAATCCAATGTAGTTTCCTATAGTTTTCGTACCAGTAATTTTCAGTGTCCTATTTATTTACATTTGATCTGTATTCACAATCTATATGATCATTGTTAGTAACGTAGCTCTTATCCATATCTTTTATTCTATTAGAACACTTATCTAGGAATTTTTCAGCCACTGAAAATATTTCGTAAATTAATTTAATTTCTGTGGGTTTTTCATATCTCTTGATTTTTCTTTGCTATATTCGGTAATATTTTTTAAATTTCTGTACCTACAATAAGATAGCACTGAATTGACAGTTTTTTTGATTAGGTAAATTACATAATTCCTTTCAATGCCCGTTTTTGTAAGTTTTGACTACACACAGGAAGTTCTTTTCTCTGATATCTAAAAATCTATCATGTGTCCATTTTTTTATGAATTCCTGCTTATTGAATTAAGTACCATCTTTTAGAATACTGTTTTCCATATCTTTATAATGTTCAATCTAGTCATAAAATGAGATCCTTTTTGTTGCAGTGTGGTAAGCGACTCACCAGGATTTTCTTTAGCTAAATTTACATATTTAATTTTAATTTTCAATGGAGCAACTAAATAATAATTGTTGAAAAAATTCATTTAGATTTTCAACTAAATTTTTCAGTTAGATATCCAGCTCGAAGTCACTGAATTTCTACCTGAATGTGACTGAATTTACAGTTGAATTTTCAACTGAATTTAGGTGTATAACGAGTTCATTTCTCAACTAGTTACTTCTCTCTCTACCTTCATGTAATCCATATTATATTTACATAAATATTGTCAATATCCTTTATACACAATCATATATATATTCGACGTAGCAGTAGCCGACGCAGTCAAAGATAAAGTCAAAGGTAAAGTCGGTGAGAGAGAGAGAGAGAGCAACAGAGAGTCACGTTCAAGAGAAAGAGAGAGAGAGCGATATACCCGAACATATGCCTCGTGCTGAGGGCGTCTTGACCGATCAGGACTCGAGCGACTGATACTGAAGTAGAAGAGGGGGCACCGCGAGCAACAATTAGCTGGGTTTATTTGGCTATTTCGATTGACTTATAACCCTTAGATTTCGTATTTTTTTTTAATTTAGCACAATTGTTGTACACATAAAAATAAGTTTTTTCCCAAATTTTGATGACGATACATTAATTATATCAAAAGTTATTAACAGTTAAAGAAAAATGATAAAAAATTTTCAAACGGCTATATTTTAAAAACTAATAAAGATAGCGAAATCGGATTTCAACGGCAACGGCAGCGGGATGTTTTCGTGGTCTTACGCTGAGGCATTTTTTTTTAATTAGGGCTACGCTTTCCGATATATCGGGTCCTTGAATTTTATAGCTGATTTCGATAGCAAAAATCTTCAAGAACATGCAGGAGCAAGAATTAAAAAAAATATATACTTTTTGAGATATTAGCAATTGTTTAAACAAAAAGTTAATAACTTTCAAAACAAAATTTTTATTGTTTATTGCTGTAATTATTTCGAAAGTTCAAGGTATTATAAGTATTTTGAAAAAAATCCGACTTCGATATCTTTATCAGTTTTTAAAATATAGCCGTTTGAAAATTTTTTATCATTTTTCTTTAATTGTTAATATCTTTTGATATAAATAATGTATCGTCATCAAAATTTGGAAAAAATCTCACTTTCGTGTGTAAAAAAATGATGCCAAATTAAAAAAATCCGTAACCTAAGGGTTACAAGTTAATCGAAATAGCCAAGAATAACCCAATCTGTTTGACTCGACGCCGCGAAAATGTGTTGATTGGCGCGCTGCTTTTAAGGCCCTGCCGATTTTGTGCTACTTTGCCGTTAATAAGGATAGCGTTTTTGACCTTGCCATCGACAGCGGCTTCTGACAGCCTCAAGGTGGATAGAGTGTGCGTATGTGGTGTGCCGAGAGTGTAAACAACGCGGGCTTGACGCGATTATAGCGAGCCGTTGTTGCATCAACGAATTTCGACGCACGAGCGTTTGAAGAAAGCATGGCCGTGAAAAATTTAAGTACCTCCTCGTACTTTGTCTCTTTCTCTGCTTACTTGCTTTCTCTTTATTACCCTGCGCTGCTTTATCAAACTGCATTATTATAACTCTACATTTGTATTATTTATAATTTCATTTATATAAACAGCAGTCATTCTAGTTACGCATTCTTTTGTCTCGCCTAACTCTTGTTCCTTTCCTGTGCTAATTCTCTTCGTATTCATTATTCGCGATTTTTCTTACATCTACCCACCATGCTCTACACGGGCCATGAGGTAGCATTGATGCAGATAACCAGGCTCGACCGAGTACGAGCCATTGCTCAGACCCAGTGGCAAATCAAGCACAGTATCGCCAAGGCCAATCTTATTTATAATAATTTCCTCTCTATAATGTAGTGAATTCTATAAACCGTTATAGGTGGATTTTTTAGTTTGATTTATAGGTTAATGTCACTGAATTTCGCATGGATTTTGTAATTAAAATTATAATTATGATTAAATATTATTAAAATATAATGTAATTATTATTTTTCACAAATTAGTAATTTGTCTATAGCTATAATCTAGGTAGAAATTATAACGGGGTTTTAGCTCGAGCTCTTTTCGGGCTAAATTAGCTATATAAATATTCTCGCGGATTAATATTTTAATAAAGCGAAGTGCGCTATCCAAAGCGACCCTGTACGCCAGCGCGAACAGTGCTTGGGTCCAGCTGCATCAGCTTGCCTCCTTCCTTACGTAGAAATTCGGCCCGCGGAGAGTGTCGTGAGCTACAGGTCACTTGGCGAGAGACAACCTAAAGAGTCTCGCTGCGAAGTAGTTATGCAATAAGGCACGGTATCGGAATAAGACACTGCGGATTTTAGTAGAAACGAATCGTGTATTTAGGCACTCGCGAGTACATGGAAGTGCGCGTGTTGACGAAATGTGACCGGCAGCGAACAAGGCGACAACAAAACGCAACGCGCCGATCTTGTCAGCGACCGAGCAAGATCGGACAACGGATTCGCTTAAAGCGGCTCGAGGCAAGACGCAATGCCGAGCAAAATGAGAGGGTGCGTAGGTCGGGCGAAAGGCTAGAGCAACGAATGCGGTTAGCAAGCCATAGGAGAGAGAGAGCCAAAGAGAGAGAGAAGAATTGAGTAGGTACTTACAGTAGTTGTCGTCGGTTATCAGAACGGCAGAAACGCACGTACAATAGATCGCGACCACGCTTACTCCTGGCCTACACTCACGCGGGCGTTCTTGCTTCTTGGCCTTATAGCTGACGGAATTCCTGTCAGCGTCAACTACGTGTCTTCGCTTATCACTGGCGATCTTCGGACTCGTACAATCGCCACTGCGTATTCGCTTAGTCCCCCGTAATCTCTCGTAACGCAAAACAAAGATGTTGCTGTCAGACTAAGCTAGCGTCCGTACCGGTCTCTGCTCGCATGCCAACTACTCATTACGCGCCCTCTTTCTCTCTCCCCTTCGCGATCGCGGTCTCTCCGCGACATCCGCGCTAAGGACTATCGATAGTATAGATCGTAGGGCTCGACTCTTACCTTGTTCGCTGACATTTCAACTGCGCTACAAATTACACATTATTATAACACATGGTATGGTATAAATATGATTAATAAATAAACTGGCTGCAGGGAGAGAAAGACATAACGAGAATGCGGCTCGTTATAAAATTATTTAATAATATAAAAAATAGAATGTAAGAAAAAAATCTTTATTTTTCGATATTGAAATATTATATAGACGCAAATGTTCTGTGAAATGAAAATTATTTTGCATTTGTTATGTGATAATCTTATAAATAATAAATTTTATAATGCAATGTGACTGAA